GGAGAGCAAGACCAGCCACCCCCAGGCGCCCGCCAGGGACCCCCCCCAGCCAACTCAGCCCCCAAGGGGTCGGAGGGAGGCGCCACCAAGAGCGGGGAGGGTGACAGGCTTCGCTCCCGCAGGGCAGCCATCGCTGCCTCCGAGGCTGCGGAAACAGCGCGGGGCGTGCGCAGCATCACGACTCGCAGGCGACGGCCCCGAGCAGCTGGGGTACGGGCCCTTCCGAATCCGACTGAGATGAACCAGAACCTCGTGCGCGGCCGGCTTCCACTCGTCTGTAGCTTGGCGGCCGCAAACAGCCGCGGTGCGTCCGCACCGAAGACAGAAAGAAAATAAAACAAGTGGAGGTCCCAGAAGGCCCGCCTGTGGGAGGGGGTCGACAGCCTGCCCTCCAACCTCCGCGTGGCCCCTGGCCGGCCAAACCACACCCAGAGGAAACCCAGGGAACCCTTCAAGAGGTCGATCCCGGGCGAAGAGCACTCCGAAGGCGCAAGGCATCGAGGAGGCCCCGCTTCGGAGACACCAGCCCACACGCGAGGCATGCGAGAGCGGACTCGACAGCCTGGAAATAGCGAAAGCTGGCCCTGGCAGCCCGCTCTGAACGCGCGCATGGCCTGGAACGAACTCTGGGAGGGGCACTGGACCTCTCTTAGGGTCCGCATGGGCGGCGTCGGCCAACGCCCTGCGAGCTCTGCGCCGAACGAAAGCTGCCGCAACATCCCAGGTGTCAGTGGGTGGGCCGAACGCTACTGACAGGGCCCACGGTCGAGAAGCTGCCTCTCCCGCAGCTTCGTCTGCCATCTGATTGCCGCTGGCCAGGAAGACCTCACGCTCCGAAAGCCCTGGGCCGTCAGGAGACATGCGATATGGGGCCCACTCGACATCGACCGAGCCAGGACCTCGGAGTGAGAGAGAGAGAGGAGAGAGAGGAGAGAGAAAGAGAGAGAGAGAGAGAGAGAGAGAGGAGAGAGAGAGAGAGAGAGAGAGAGAGAGAGAGAGAGAAAAAAAAAAAAAGAGAGAGAGAGAGAGAGAGAGAGAGAGAGAGAGAGACTCCCGCGGTCGCAGGTCGCCCCCTCGGGGGCCGCCGCGCCCGAGCGCCCGCGGCCGCGGGCACTCAGCGCGAGAGCCAGCGGCGTCGCCAGCTCGGCGCTCGGCGCCTGCGTCTCGTCGGGCGCTGCCCGCAGCCGCTGCGGCCTAACCCCTCGCCGCGCAGGAGGGAAGGCGGCTAGGGCGGATCGCCCCAGCCGCCTCCGCGCCGCCCCTGGGAGACACCTACAGGGCCACAGGCGCCGTGCAGGGAGTACTCCGCGTAGTACCCCACGTAGTAGCGTCAGCAGCTCCCTTCGTCTCGTCGGGCGCCGCCCGCAGCCGCTGCGGCCTAACCCCATCGCCGCGCAGGGGGCAGGCGGCTAGGGCGGATCGCCCCAGCCGCCTCCGCGCCGCCCCTGGGTGACACATCCAGGGCCACAGGCGCTGTGCAGGGAGTACTCCGCGTAGTACCCCGCGTCGTGACGCCAGCAGCTCCCTGCGTCTCGTCGGGCGCTGCCAGCAGCCGCTGCGGCCTAACCCCATCGCCGCGCAGGGGGCGCGCGGCTAGGGCGGATCGCCCCAGCCGCCTCCGCGCCGCCCCTGGGAGACACATCCAGGGCCACAGGCGCTGTACAGGCCGTGCTCCACGTAGTGCCCCACGTCGGAGCGCCAGCAGCTCCCTTCGTCTCGTCAGGCGCTGCCCGCAGCCGCTGCGGCCTAACCCCTCGCCGCGCAGGGGGCAGGCGGCTAGGGCGGATCGCCCCGGCCGCCTCCGCGCCGCCCCTGGGAGGCACATCCAGGGCCACAGGCGCTGTGCAGGGAGTACTCCGCGTAGCGCCCCGCGTCGTAGCACCAGCAGCTCCCTGTGTCTCGTCGGACGCTGCCGGCATCCGCTACGGCCTAACCCCTCGCCGCGCAGGGGACAGACGGCTAGGGCGGATCACCCCGGCCGCCTCCGCACCGCCCCTGGGAGGCACATCCAGGGCCACAGGCGCTGTGCAGGCCGTACTCCGCGTAGTACCCCACTCCGTAGCGCCAGCAGCTCCCTGGAGTGCGCCCTCAGAAGCAGCTCGCCGACCACGCTGCCCCTGGCTGGGCGCCTCCATTGCCGCTGGCTCCGCTCGTCTTCTCGAAGTACTCCTCGTAGTACTTGCCTCCGCAGCCACAGCCTGGCCTCGGAAGCTGCCCATGATCTCTGCGCGGCCTCGAGCAGCATGTCTCCCGCTGTGGTTGCCGCTGAGCGCCTGGGCGCCCATGATTGCCTCCAACGTCTGCTGCTCGAGAAACCCGCTTGCCCTTCCCATGGGATTCGGCCCATGGTCCTTGTGCCCGCTCTCAGTGCGTCGTCCCAATGCCGCCTGAAAGAGTGCCCAGAGACTTGGCTGCCGTGCTCGTCCTCTCTGCTGCGTACCTCCATCATGCGGTTGAGGCCCTGCTCCTGCCTCCTTTCCGCCGCGACCGCTCGGTTGGGGCCCTGCTCCTGCCCCCTTTCCGACGCGGTCCCTGGCGAGAACGCTGTCTCCGTCAGGTGGTTGAGGCCCTGCTCCTGCCTCCTTTCCACCTTCGCCGCTCGGCTGATGCCCTGCTCCTGCCTCCTTTCCGATTCGGCTGCAGCGCGCACCGTCATCGACACCGACTCCGTCTTCATCGGGCGCGGGTAGGGGATCGCCACTACGTTGTGCCGCAGGGGGCGCATCAACGACGTGGCGACGCTGAGGTCCCTCAGGCTCACTGGGCGCCAGGGACCCAGTGGGCGTCCCCGTTCCCGTGCAAGCACTACCCCCATGTTGAGGATCGGTCGCTTCAGGAACTGCGTGTCGCGTGCGTCCGAGGATCGTGTTGATGTCGTCGTCCTGCTCGCGCTTCGCCTTTTCCTTTGCCTTTATCCTTCCCATCATTGCTGCCATCTTGTGCTCGCACCCCGTGTCCTCCGCCATCGCCACAGGTCGAGTTACACAAGTCCTCGAAATCAGAGGGGGCAGGGTCTTGGGCATGAGCCTACACAGGGGGGTCGCCATGTCCATGCGCCTCGCCAGTGTCTTGTGTGGGCCCAAACCCCGTCGTAGATTCGTCAGCAATTCTACGCCTTGTAGGGTTGGCGGCTTGCACTGTCTCCTGAGCTTCTGCCGTCGACGTTGTTGTGCCCAAGCACCGCAGCCAACACAAACAAAGACCGTAGGGACCGCGTCGTCGCTGAGCCCGTCACCTTTCTGGTTCACCGCCACGAGGTGATGTCCGAGTGGTTGGTTGAGGAAGGCCTTGAGGAAGGTAGGGGTGCCAGCACATCCATTGAGCATAACTTCCGTCCCTGGGCTGTTGATCTTCAAGCACGCCTTACATTGAAGACCGAACCTTCCTTCCTCCCACTGGTGCCATCCGTCAGTGCGCGTACTCCTTACCCTCTTGGCCTGGGCCGCTCGCATTGCCCAACGCTCTTGAGCATCACGATCAAACAAAGGTAGCACTGCCGCAACCAACTTCGCAAAGTTCTTGATCCTCACAGTGGCCGTGTCGATAGCCTTCGCGAAATCCTCGCTAATAGCTGCATGCACCGCTGCACCAGCTTTGGCTCTCACGTCCGCATAGGCATTGGCATGTGTGAGCCTCCTTGTGGCCATATCCAGGCCAGCATACTCCGCTCCCGAACGGCGTGCCTTCACGTGCGTCACGCTGCGGAGGAAACGGAATCCAGGAAGGCTCTGGGCGAACATGGCCACGCACGCGTATGCCGACTTTGACCGTAACTGCTGCTCGTGCGTGAGAGCCGCCATCCTGACCGTACCCATGAAGTCCGCGTAGCCATCAGCAGGTCGGTCTGCCACCTGTGCTGTGCACGCGTAGGCTGGGTACTCCGCCATCGCCGAGGACTGCGGAAGCGACGCTGGCACTGGGGCGTGCATCGTGCATAGTACTTTGTCCGAATGTGGACCCATTAAAGCGATAGCCCATCCAGCACGTTGGAGCTCCAGGATGTCTGGCTTCGCGCAGCTCCCGCCGAACGAAAGCTCCATCTCCAGATCCGTCTCAGCAAGCACTGTTGCAGGCATGGTCTCGGGCGTGCAAGCGAAATCGTTGCCATCACCGTCAAGAGTCACGCTGCCAGGGCCGAGTTGCATGTCAGGAATTTCCCACTCAGGATATGCAAAGGCCCCTTGGGTGATGACACGATCGTCTGGCGCTTGGCGGAGCTCCTGAAGGAAAGACTCGGGGATTTCAGCTTCTCGACGTGCTTCTACGACTTCTGGGCGAGTGCACTCCGCCAGCCTATGCACCAGCGTGTCCGCATCCCCACACTCGCACTTGCCGTCCGTGAGGTATCCTTTCTCCTTCGCTTTTTGACGTGTCCATACTCCATCACAGGCACAGTTCATGATACAGAACTTCTGATATTTATTGAACTTCCTGGACTTAACGTGTCGCCGGAGAATATCGAAGGTGACTCTTGTGTAAGGCTGCATGTCCCACTTCTCCGCTAGAGCCTTCTCATGCTGCGCTGATAGGCCTTGCCTCAGCATCATTTCAAGAAGGCCAGGGGTGAGTTGCCCTACATGCACCTCATCGCCTCGATGGTTGATCCAGAGTAGCCCTGTACGCGTTTGCCACCCAGCTCGTTGTACTGAGAGTGGTGCGCGTTGAAGGGGGCCACGTGTATTACTCCACTGCTTGACCACTCCAGGTTCGGTAACTGCCCTTCTCCACCATGCTTCCAGCAATGCAAGAGGAACAGCTGCGGTAGCAGGCCTGGCTGTGGCGGCCCACACCATCCTTGACCATTGGAGGGCAGGAGCCAGTGCTTGCGTGGCAGCAGGGTCGCCGAGCAGCACCAGCTTCGCGCTCGCGGAGGTGCCGCCGTGGTTGGGCTTGACGTGCTTGTTGTAGTCCCGCCTTAACTTCAGGAGTTCCACGTCGTTGGCCCCGTTGACCTCAACCCCGCATGTATACGCAGGCCTCGCACCAACACGGTAGATCTCCCCAAGTCTCCCCGTCTTTTGAGCAGCGAGCGCCTTCTTGAACTTCCGTAGCATCCTCAGCCTTCCACCATGCACATTCTGTCTTGCCCGAAACTTGCCACGCGCACCTTTGGCATTCCGAACCCTGCCTCCAGAGACGTCAGTGCCCAAATGCGCCGTACTCTTCAAGCTGATCTTCATATCAAGTTGTTTTCGACGACTGACTTCATCACTTATGGCCTTGGTGCTCGAAATGATGGCAAGCTTGTCGTTGATGCTGGCCCCTAGTGCACGTGCAACCTTGAAGCAGCCTTTTGTAGCATGCACCGCCTGGTCAATCACCATCTGCTTGCTACTGCTGTTGACGCCAAGGGCTGTATCGTCGATATAAGAAGCGAAGCGCACCAGCGGATGCAAGGTCGTGCACATGTCGTACTGTTCGACGGCGTGAGCCTTTATCACTACGTCTGCATACGCATCTCCAGCTGGCAACCCAGCATTCGCATGCCTTGGGGCTCCTCCGTGGTGGAGTCGCAGCCGCATGATCCTTGGCCCCTCCCATTGATTGTAGACCACCTTGATCATCGGAACTGGCATACCAAGGCGCATCAATTTGTCACGCGCCTGGTCCAACCCAATCGTCTCGTAATACTTGCTGTAGTCTGCAACTACCGTGACCACGAACCTGTCCTGACATACGTTCTGCTCGTTGTCCGCTGCAAGGGTCCACGCACTGTCCACTGCGCTTCTCCCCGATGCCGCTCCCCAGTAGGTGCGGTCCAATCTCTGCTGGACCATGTCGAGGCCAGGCCTTCTCATCTTCTGCCATGCTCTGTAGGCCGCCGAGTACAGAATAATCAACCTGTGTCCTCCAGCGGATTTGGGCAACATCGGCATCACCATCCACGTAAGTTGAATGGGAAATACTCCGATCGCCTCCACCGCCTGGAAGATGTCACAGAGGCACTCCAAGGATTCGTCGCTCAAGTGCTGAAAGTGTGACGGGTGTATGCCGCCCAGGCTGCTCGAGGTCTTCGTGGTGAACGCCTTCGATGCTGCTCTGATCATACCTGGACTTGGTCTATCCATGGTGCTGCGATCAGGTACCCAAACGTGCGGTGCCTCCTCAGTCGCCTTCCAGAGTTTGTGGTGATTGGCTTCCATGTCCAACACGATCTGGTGATGGGTGTCCGCTCATGCCGTCTGTGGTGGTCTTGCACACTACCGTTGGCGCCTGCGCGCTGTTGAGCTTGGTTACGCGATGGAAACGCCCAACACCTCCCGCGCATGCAATATCGCACCAGTCCTTCCAGCGAGTAGGGCTATCTCGGTCTGCCTGCTGCTTCGCACACTCCATATCTTCTTCGCATTCAGCAAGAAATTCGTGTAGATCTTCGCTGGGTGTTGAGGCATGACTAATCAACCGTCTAGCTCGTGTGACAGAAGCGTCGAGACGATGATTGACATTTTGGCCCACATAATCGGTCTCCAGGAATCCTTGGAGTTCATCAGCGAGTTGCCTTTCTTGCTCTTGGCCACGGCCGTTCTTGAGCACAGCGATCCCTTTGACAGCATCTGCAAACCATTGCCAGCCATCAGCGACTGCCTGGATACCTTCAGCGTCTTGGCCTTCATATGCATAAGATATCCACTTGGGTCGGATCATGCCCTTGAAATTCTCTGGCGCCTTGATGAACGCGCCCGTGATGTGGCCAAGCCTTACTGCAGCCTTGCACACCCAAAAACCCCACGCTCGCGATAGCACCTACCGCTGCTTGAAGAGACGCTTCTGCAGCATAGCTCCGCTCGAAATCCCAGTCGGCGTCGCACCACAGTGGACCCGCAACCTTGTCGGCTGCAATCTTTGTCCCTCCAACATATGCAAGGCATTGCATTGTCGTTCCATGGCCACACAACGATAACTGGACAGGGCGGTGCGGCTTTTTACGTCATGTCTTATCTACATGGCATTTCCTCATCAGCCTCATGGCTCCAGAGCTTAGGGCGAAGAAGTCGATCGCTGTGGCGCTGGTCGGTCCCCTGCATGTGACCTGGCCTGGGCTGACAAGTCCGACTTGTGCGTGCACTGGGAAACCCGATGCCTCAACCTCTTCGATAGACATATTCCAGTCGCCTCCTACCAGACATGGGTACTGTTGTCCTGCCATCGCGAGCCCTACGTTCATGAGGATCCTAGCATTCCTCGTCGTCATACCCTCGGCCGTGTGCAGGTATATGTTGAAGACGTTGAGTGGCGGCCATCCTTCCAATTCCACGAGCACGTGCTGCGCTCGATGGGCTACCAGCTCTGACCCGAAAGCAATCTGCTCATTCGTCTCGCTTTGTCTTCGAGCCGCCGTAGATGCAGGATACTCAGGGCCTCGTAACCCCGCGCCTTCCCTTGCGAAAATAGCCAACCCACCTGGCGGAAGATGTCCATCTGTAGGCTTCCCAGGAATAACCATCATCTGCCACTTGCGGGAGCTGGCCCATGTGCTGAGGGCCTCACATTCCCAATCCAAGTGTCCTATTTCTTGCGCTAGAACAACCAGCGCGCTAGTCCTTTCCAATCGAAGCTTGAGCGCCCGCTTCCCTTGACTGGCATTGAGGGTCTCGAACAGGTGCTCGCTTGCCATGGATACAGGCGCAGGAACAGCACATGTCTTTCCACGACGTACCAGCAGCCCACTTACACGCGGCAGGGTGCTAGGATTTACACCCTCCTGTTGGTACTGCGGACACTTCATCTGTCTTGCGAAACTTGGTTTTCTGGATGCCGGCCACCATGTCGGAAAGCTGGTCCATGGAAATGTCGTGGCCGTGTTCTCCCTGGCATAGCTTGGCACGAAGAGCTTCGACATCCTCCGTGGTCCACTGGATGCCGTTCCCGCGCTTGGAGGACTCGCCATTGGTGTCTCCTTCGCCTCCGCTACTTGGCCCATCAAGACCGTCATCAGACTCAGGGCCAACAGGAACTTGCACACCATTCCTTGGCGCAGGAGCCTTGGGGATGGATACCTCCAGCTTTTTCTGCACCAACTTTTGTAGCTTCTGGAAATTGGCGCCCGCACGGCACTGGTGATAGAACTGCAGCAGGCCAGGGTCCCCCTGGAAGTCCGCGAGTTTGACGTCGAGCGCCATGATATCCTCGGGGATGGCGGGGGCAGCGCCTTCGGAAGCTTCACCACGGGCAACTTGCACTTGCCGCTGATGGCGCTCTGCCTCCGCTTTGAACTGCTCGACCTCGACCTGCTGCGCCTCGATCGACGCCGACTTTTCCGATATCTTCTCCTGCAGCCCTTGTAGCTGCAGCAGCAATGCCTCGTGGTCCTTCGTGAGCTTGTCCAGCTGCGTCCTGCTGCGCTCCAGCTTCTGCGATGCCAGCTTGAACGCCGTCGCTGGAGGCCGCAGGTCGCGGATCTGCTCCCTGAGCTTGTCAATCTCGGCCTTGTGGTACGCATGGGCCGCACCGTCCTGCTCTTCGTACTTGACAGCTTCCTTGAGGGCACGCTCATGGTACTTGATATGTTCCTGCAGCGCCGTCATCTTTGCGAAGCTGGGGTCCTTCTCGCTCTTCTCTTCCGTTGGCTGGTGCTGGTCACCTTCAGCCTGAAGCCAAGGTATGGAGCCACCTTTGCCGACGAGGTTCCGCAACTTCGTGAGCTCGGCTTCCATGAGCTTGAATTTCGAGCACCACGGCGCAGGCTTCTCGACGAGCCCACTACCTCCAGCTCGCTTCGACGGTGCATCTCCTGCGCGTGCAGCTGCATCGGCCTTCTTGGCCGCGGTGATGATGCGCTGCGGCGCCTGCTTGCCGCAGCTGCACTCGATGCGGCACGCCCAGTTGCCATCCATGCCACAGGAGCAGCTCCAGAATGGCTTCTTCGATCCTCGCAACACCCTCTGCCTCGGCGGCTGCTCCTGCGCCTTGGGCGGCGCTGGCGCCATCGCCCCTGCTGAGGAGCCGCGATGGCCGTCCAAGCGCTGGGCCGCACTGCGCAGCCGCGCCGCAAGGCCAGGAGTCCAGCGCCTCGCCCAGGCGTGGAGGAGGGCGCGATCCTCCTTGCGTCGGAGTCGCGCTCGATGGTGGGCGGCGGTTTCCCTGGGAGCCGCTGTCGCGCGAGCGCTAGTCTCAGCGCGCGACAGGAGCCGAATCCCCCTCGCCTGCAGCCCCGCAGGCGCCCGAAGGGGGGCGGCAGCTCCTCGCGAGCCGAAAACTAGGACCTCGGAGTGAGGAAGGAGTCAGGAGGGAACAGGGAATGGGATGGTGCGGAGGTGGGGGAAGAAGGCACGGAGCCATATGTTGCTCCCATCATACATAAGGACCACATCCCAGAAATAAGCTCGAACACCCCGAAAAATATCGAAATGGTGCCGAACGGGTATCGCCTCCCAGGGCCCGACACTTGAAACCCCCCCAGTGTCGATACCTTCTTGGTGCTCGAGATTCTTTCCGGCGATCAAAGCGAAAGCAGGTTGGAACAGCATAAACGGGGCACCGAATACTGATCGCGCTGGGTCCGCAGGCCCCAGTCCAGGATTTGGACGCCCGAAATGGGTACGGAAAAATGGATACAATGCCCAACAACAAATGTTGCCCTAAACCGCAAGCGGCCACGGAAATCGTGGGAAGCAGTGAGGCCCAAAAAGAGCACGATGCCAATATGCCGCCCGGGGCCAGTCACGTGCGTGACCATGAAGGGGGGGTACGTCGCGCTGGTCACGCCACGGCGGGGGTGCGCCTGGAAAACCGCAACATGCCCGTAAGCACCGCAGTGCACATGCGAGAAATAATCACCTGCGACCCGACAATCACGACGTGCCTGTGACCACCACCACAAAAACTTGCAATCCGATCAACGCAACGTGCCTGTGAACACCACAATGCTTTTGAAGAGCACATCGCCCGTGAACACCACAGCGCCTGTGAACATCAAAATGCTGGTGAACACAGCGCCTGCGAACACCACAGCACCTGTGAATACCACATCGCCTGTGCACACTACACAGCCTAAAAACACCACAGCGCGTGTGAACACAACTACGCCTGTGAACACAGCGCGCGCGAGCACCGCAGAGCCTGAGGCCAATCGGCAGCGCGCAAGCACTAGCCACAGCAGTAGCAGTAGCAGTAGTCGTGGTAGTAGTACTAGTAGTAACAGCAACAGCAGCAGCAGTAGTGGTGGTGGTGGTGATAGTAATGGTGGTAGTAGTAGTAGTAGTAGTAGTAGTAGTAGTAGTAGTAGTAGTAGTAGTAGTAGTAGTAGTAGTAGTAGTAGTAGTAGTAGTAGTAGTAGTAGTAGTAGTAGTAGTCGTAGTAGTAGTAGTAGTAGTAGTAGTAGTAGTAGTAGTAGTAGTAGTAGTAGTAGTAGTAGTAGTAGTAGTAGTAGTAGTAGTAGTAGTAGTAGTAGTAGTAGTAGTAGTAGAAGCAGTAGCAGTAGCAGTAGCAGTAGTAGTAGTAGTAGTAGTAGGTAACGCCGTGCCCGTCCGGGCCGTGTAGTAGTGAACCGCTGTTCTGAAGAGGTGTCGCTGTCTTTCTCTTTCTTTTGCACTGAAGGATATGTTTTAGAGGTCTATGTGGCCGAAGTTGGATCCCATAACAACATTCACCAGAAGAGTTTGACACTCGGTTTGGGGTTTTAAGTTGCCCCCCGTCCATAAAATCGAACATGATGGAAGCGAACGCCGTCTCCGTCCGGGCCCGCCGTGTTCGATTTCGAAGATGTTGCATTGCTTTGCATTGGGCTGCTTTGCATTATTCTGCATTGTTTGCATTTGGGGTGCTCAATAGATGTCTGCTGAGGTTGCATTGGGAGCTTACATCATGAGATGATGTCGAAGCAGGTGATGATAATGATGATGATGATGGCGATGATGAAGATGATAATGGTGGTGATGGTGACGATTGTATGACGACGATGATGCGAATGATGATGATGACGATGATGACGATGATGATGATGCGGATGTATGACGAGGATGATGACGATGATGATGATGATGGTGGCGAAGATGATGATTATGACGGTGATAATGATGCTGGTGATGATTGTGGTGCTGCTGGTGATGC